CTGCTCTCCGACAAGTAAACTTAGTGCTCTCTCGTGCAAAAACAAAATTCAAAACACAACACTGATCTCTACTAACTCTCATGTCTCTCGTTGCCAGTAGTCATGTCTCAGCAGGGCTACAATTACTTTCAATAATATCATATAATTTGTATGAATGTAACATTTAACAGCTTGTGGGATGCATGACATCAAATTATCAAATGCAATTAAACTTTTGAAACATTTAATTTAGCATTATTTTTGGCATAATAACTAATGCTATATTTAATAATGCTGTAAAATAATTAAATACAATATAAAATAATGCTAATTTAAATGTTTCAAAAGTTTACTTGCATTTGGGCGAAAATTACATGTAAACAATTTTAAGGCTATGGCTATGCTCATCGCTGGTCTGGTTACTGGTTTAGGGCTATAGCCAAGCCGTTAAAATTAGACCACAGATTGCCTCGATTTCACCAGGTGGGCTAAAAGCAGACTAATTTAGAGCGAAGTCATGGCTACATATAGACCATGTCATGAAATTACACTTATATATTTGCAGATATTATAGACACTGCGAACATGATGGGCTATCAACCATCTCATGCGCTGCCTGGCCAAAAACTACAGTGAGTCAGGTTTGACTATAAGTGGGCTACAGATAGCCACTCTGACTACGAGCTAAATCGTGGCTACGCACAGGCTAAGCATTGAACATGTCAAATAAATTAAACCAAACATCTTGTAAACGCTGTTACTTTGCTTACATGATGGAATATCATACATCTCACAAGTTATTTTGCCAGAAAATGACATGAAACCAAATTCAAGGTTATTTGGGCTAGATGTGGGTTACACATAGCCGGACTATATCGGGTCTATACTTAACCGAGATGTTGAAATGACGGCTATTGCTTGCTGGGAAGTCTTCACTGAATGGAAAAAAATCCATAGAAATGGTTATTTCCTGCCAGACCATTATCCGTTACGTTCAAGGTAGCCTAATTTCATGCAACCAAAAAACAATTCTAAAACACCAGTGAAAAATCAATACGGCAAAATCGTTCATAAACTGTTTATTTGTCTTGTTTAGGCACCCATTTTGTTTGATTAATGCATAAAACATGTAAAGACAATTTGTCATTCATGATATTTTCTCCCAGAACAAGTCTTGTTTTATTTCATAATAAATCTGTTTAAACAATGACTATTATTAGAACACAGTCTGTCTCTCCTGATGCATGTTTTATGAAGGATCAGAGTGTGTCAAATACCGTGAGGGAATCTTTACATAACCCGATCTCATGAAAGTGCGTGTCAATACCACGAGTTTCTATTTCTATTTGGCGTACTATTTATACACAGAAATGGACTTTGGCATGCATATGGTACGCAATGCTTAGGATCAGGGGTGTGGCAGGTGAGTATTATATGCACGTGAAAACTGCGTATCATATGCACGCCAGCACGAGCAAAGTCAATTACTGCGTGAGAAAAGGGCTGTTTTGGGGAATGATGTTTCTGGAGTTTATCTGTTGATTCAGATCCATGCATTTCGCTCCGGACTAACATGAGCTTGACATCAAAATCTTTTTCCAAACTTCATGTGTGACTTTTTATTAAAAACGACTTAAAAGGTGAAAAGGTAATCAAAAAAATCCCCAAAACTGGCCGGATTTCACAAAGATAAAACATCCAAACTCAACTGTTCTGTGACAGACGCTTTGGCTCAAACCTTGATTATTCAAAGATGAATTTATATCAAATCCATCTAGATGAAATCAGAAGGTATGTGTTGTATTGTAGACGTGACAGACTGGGAGTAACCTGATACTGGCAGGTAAATGAGCAACAATGAACCGACTGGTTCATGTAAACCTCACACAGCTTTAATATAAACGTCGTAATATAAAAGAGTTTTCCTCCTTCCTCACTCTCTCAATATATATTATGTGCGTATATACACTATACTATAAAAATTCTGTGAAATGTCAGAAAAAAAATCATTAGGATATTAAGTAAAGATCATGCTCCGTGAAGATATTTTGTAAATTTAATACTGTAAATATATCAAAACGTAATTGTTGATTAGTAATATGCATTGCTAAGAACTTCATTTGGACAACTTTAAAGATGATTTTCTCAATATTTTGTTTTTTATGCACCCTCAGATTCCATGCTAAATATTATTTATTCAGCTTTCAGATAATGCATAAATCTCAATTTCCAAAAATTGACCCGTATGACTGGTTTTGTGCTCCAGGGTCACATGTAAGGTCTTTCTGGAATATGTACACCTGCGTCATTCTGGAAACTACAGATGGGTTCCGCTGGCTACTTCATGCCTCATTCCCTTCATGCATGATTTACATTGATGGAACATACTCTGAATAGTGACGGTAAGGCTCAGATTAAAGCGACGAAACCTCGAGACACACCTCTGTAAAATTCACCTTCTTCCTCCTCACCTGCACTTGTGTAGCTAATTAAAAAAAGGAAATCAAGTCACACCTGCAGACGTCTTCACTGACTCACCTGTTTCAAAAGAACACTCAGAAAGATAATTGCTTTAGCACTTATCATAAGTTGTATATGGAGTGGTTATTTTGTATGTAATGCATAATGTAATGTAACTCATTTATTAGGTTAAATCCTTTTTACTATATTTTCCGTATACAGTGTTTTTTACTGAACACTTTCATGAAGTAATATTCAAAAAGCATTACAAATCTAACAGCAGAAGAAACATATTGTGTAATCATTTACTTATATATAATCAGTGCTGGGTAGATTAGTCGCAATTGATTTGATTGCTATTTTAACAACATATACATGAGCTGAAATGCAACACAGACCCATAATACCTGATCAATTAAGAGATTTAAAGACAAGGGAATAATAAATAAGAGAATGCTAAATTCTATTACAGGTGCATCTCAATAAATTAGAATGTCGTGGAAAAGTTCATTTATTTCAGTAATTCAACTCAAATTGTGAAACTCGTGTATTAAATAAATTCAATGCACACAGACTGAAGTAGTTTAAGTCTTTGGTTCTTTTAATTGTGATGATTTTGGCTCACATTTAACAAAAACCCACCAATTCACTATCTTAGCCCCAGGCTATAAAAAAAGTTATTTGAATCATACGAAAAACGAATTCTGATCAAATAAAATGGCACTACGTTATTCATTGCATAGATATAAAAACAAGATGTCTTGTTATTTAGCAGAAACATTTGCCCCCCCAAAAAAAGCATTTCACTAGCATTGCACTAAACTACTGTCTAATGAACTTTTGCATACAGCAGAAATATTTATATTTATGATGTATAATATAAATACATATTTATTTGTATTTGACACTTATTATTTTATATTTATTTACATTTATGCATTTAACAAATGTTGTTATCCAAAGTAATTTAATTGAAAATACAAAATAAATATATTATTTTCACTAATTTGAACTATTATTTTATATTACCGTCTACTGTCTAATGACTTTTGGCAAATGGAGGAAATATTTATAATATATATTATAAATGCATATTTTTGAAATTTTATTGGATAGTTATTTATTTCATATGAATTTGCATTTATGTATTTAGCAGGCACTTTAATCAAAAGCGACTTACAATCTGATTTATTTTAAAAGACAAAATAAAAATAATTGTATTTATTAAAATAAAATATATTTTTTTTTATTGCCGTCTACCATCTAATTACCTTTGGCAAATGAAGGAAATATTTATATTTATATTATACATTATAAATATATATTTTATTTTTAATTGATAGCTATTATTACATGTATGCATTTAGCATTTAGCAGATGCTTTTAACTAAAGTGACTTTTTAAACAAATTAAATTTGTACAATTATTTGTAAAGAATAATAATCTTATGACCTTTGGCAAAAAGAGGAAATATTTATATTTATAATATATATTATACACACACACACACACACACACACACATACACTGCCACTCAAAATTTTGGGATCATTCAGACTGGTAATGTTTTTTTTAAAGACGTCTCTTCTGCTCATCAAGGCTGCATTTATTTGATCAAAAATAATTTAGAAAAATGTTTTTACAATATAAAATAATAATGGTTTGTATTCACTCAAAATTTTGGGATCATTCAGACTGGTAATATTTTTTTTAAAGACGTCTCTTCTGCTCATCAAGGCTGCATTTATTTGATCAAAAATAATTTAGAAAAATGTTTTTACAATATAAAATAATAATGGTTTGTATTTTAATATACTTTAAACTATAATTTATTGCTGTGATGCAAAGCTGAATTTCCATCAGTCATTACTCCAGTATAAAGTGTCACATGCTCCTTCAGAAATCATTCTAATATGCTGATTTATTATTAGAATGATCAATGTTGGCAACAGTTGTGCTGCCAAATATTTTTTTTGAAAACTGCGATACTTCTTTCATATTCTTTGATGAATAAAAAGTTAAAAAGTATATATAAACTATATATATTTTCTAACAATATAAATATTTGCTATCACGTCCTATCAAGTTAACACATCCTTGCTGAATAAAAGTTAATTTATTTAAAAAAAAAGAAAGAATAAAAATTGACTGACCCCAAACTTTTGAACAGTAGTGTATATTGTTTGAAAAGATTTCTACTTTATCAGAGAATACTGAAAAAAAGTATCACAGGTTCAAAAAAAATATGAAGCAACAACAGTTTCCAACATTGATAATAAATCAGCATATTAGAATGATTTCTGAAGATCATGTGACACTGAAGACTGGAGTAATGATGCTGAAAATACAGCTTTGATCACAGAAATACATTTGATTTTAATGTATATTAAAAATAGAAAAACGTTATTTTACATCATAATAATAATAATTCGCAATATTAAATTTTTTTCCTGTATATCATAAGAGACTCCTGTAAAAACATTAATACCAAACATTTGACCGGTAGTGTGTGTGTGTGTATGTATGTATGTATGTATATGTATATGTATATGTAGATGTATATATATATATATATATATATAATTGACTTGTTGCTCAGGATAATGATCAATGCTTATTCCTCTAGCTGGACTCTTTTTCTGGGTCTGATTTATTTCCTGCCTCTTCATCCTCATCACCTTCATCCTCCTCCTCCATCTCAACCCCGTCCATGGTTTTCTGCAGCTGTAGTTGGATTCTCTTCAGCTCCTGCAGTCCGTCCTGCAGCTCCTTGCAAACCTCTCTGATCTTGGCGGCGAACTCGGTCTTGGCGCCCTTGCGCAGCTCCAGCGAGCCCTTGGCGAGGAAGAAGACGTCGAGGGCGAGGAAGAGGCCTGACATGACACCGCTGGTGACGCTGATGACCTGCGCGGCTTTGGCGGCTCCTCCGGCCACGCTGAGCACCTGGACGGTGTTGATGAGGCTGTCGGTGTTCACCAGCAGCGCTTTCCCGGCCCGGCCACCCTCCTTCAGCACGTGCTTCACGTTCTGATTCAGAGCCCGTCTGGAGATGCTGTCCACATACTGCTCGAAGTGCCACTCCTCCAGAGTCTCCATCCCGGCCTACAGCGATGCAAACCATTTGAGGAGACACAAGATAGTTAGATAGTTAAAGGGTTAGTTCACCCAAAAATGAAAATTAGCCCATGAATTACTCACCCTCAAGGCATCCTAGGTGTATATGACTTTCTTCTTTCAGACGAATCCAGTCGGAGTTATATAAATAAATCGTCTTTGAACTTTCAAGCTGTTTCATGGCAGTCAGCGGGTGTTGCAGTGCATCAGTCCAAAAGAAGTGAAATAAAGCGAATCCATCCATAATAAAAAGTGTCTCATACGGCTCCGGGGGATGAACAAAGGCCTCCTGTAGCGAATCAATTAGTTTTTGTACGAAAAATAACCATATTTAAAACGTAATAATCACTTTAATGTACCTTGCGCTCACTGTTGTACACAGAAGCAGTTCTGGGGGAATAACGTACGAGGTCAGCTTTGTGCATGCGCCGCTCAGAAGTGACGAATGCGGAAACGCAGGGAAAGATCAAAACAAAACAACGGTCACTTATTAGAAGTACAAAACGAGGATTTGTAAAGAAGAATGTTGGAGGATTTCGATATAAATCAAGAGGAGACTGGTTTTCCTTTGCTAAAGTAAGGAAACTTTGCTTCCTTTGCTCCTGTAAACAAACATTGGTTTTCATGAGACTCACCGGCGCATACACAAAGCTGAACTCATACGTCATCCGCCCGGAGCTGCTTCCAGTGTACAACAGTGAGCGCAAGCTAGATTCAAGTGATTATTACGTTTTGAATATGGTTATTTTTCTAACAAAAACGCATCGATTCGCTACAGGAGGCCTTTGTTCACCCCCCGGAGCCGTGTGAGACACTTTTTATTATGGATGCATGCGCTATATTTCACTTATTTTGGACTGATGAACTGCCATTAAACAGCTTGGAAGATCAAAGACAATTTTTAATATAACTCCGACTGGATTCATCTGAAAGAAGAAAGTCCTATTCGCCTATGATGGCTTGAGGATGAGTAAATAATGGGCTAATTTTCAATTTTGGGTGAACTATCCCTTTAACAATCCTATTCATTTTCTCCACAGGGGAACGGATTTTTAATTTCATTTTTGGTACCTTATAAACCATTAAAGACAGACCTGCTGTGAGCTACGAGGTTGTTAATCGATGATATATGCTTTAGTCAAAGCCATCAGTCCACATTATTTTTAAAATAATAATTTAACAGTGGAATTGTTGGTGAAAACATCTCAGGTTACGCATGTAACCATGGTTCCTCGAGGGAACGAGACGCTGCGTCGGAGGACGATTCGGGAACGCCCTTCAGCGTGACCGGCTCTGAACCATGTGTGTAATCAGTCCAATGGATGGGCGAGACGTCACGGGCAGGGTGACGTAGCGACCAGGAAGCTTAAAAGCACGTGCGGTGAAACCGGCGTCAGCTTTTAGGAGTGAAGCAAGCGCTGGCAGAGATGCCGAAAGTATGGCCCCGAGACGCAGCGTCTCGCTCCCTCGAGGAACCATGGTTACATGCGTAACCTAAGACGTTCCTCTTCAGGAACTCGTGCTGCGTCGGAGGACGCTTCGGGAACGAGTATGCCCACACTACCAGACTTTCAAATCTTCGCCTAGTGTGGAAGCCTGCACAGCTAGGGCGAGAGAACAGAAGAGCCAGGAGTGGCTCGCATGTCTAAGCCATAGACAAAGGTTAGGGGCGGGGACCATCCCCCAGCGTCGCAGATGTCCTGCATCGAGACACCTGCCAAGAAGGCCTTGGAGGCCGCCACACTTCTAGTAGAATGAGCCTTGACCCCTAGAGGTGAAGGGAGATCAGAGGACTCATAAGCGATAGAAATGGCATTTACTATCCACCGACTGAGGGTCTGTTTTGTAGCTGGAAGACCTCTCTTTGGGGGACCATAGCACACAAGCAGTTGGTCCGCCCTTCTCCACAGGGCACCTTTGTGGACGTATGCGTCCAGTGCTCACACTGGAAACATACAGTTAAGCTTCTGCTGGTCTGACTCCCTGCAGGGAGCCGGAGGCCTCTGCCTCAGTGCACCGCGGAGGAAACGTGTAACTAGGGGGTGTCTGCCCACTGACTGGCCACCGAGAGTGGGTCAAACCTGCAGAGAATCAGGCCTGCAGGAACTCCAGCACTGTACCAACCGGGCAGTTAACTGGGTCGAGCTGGCAGTCTCCGCACCAAGAAGTTTCCACTTTAAGGCGTACAGTTTCCTCGTTGAGGGAGCTCTGGATTGGGGGATGGTCTCAACAACCTCGGTTGAGAGACCGG